GTGCTGCCTTCAGGAGCTACTCCCTGCAGTTAAAATAAAACCAGACTCGAAGTACATGAGAAGTTTGTCCAAACTGTTTTGTCTTTAATTTGTCCACAATAATCACTCGGTAACAATGTTGTAAATAGCTGTATTCATGTTGGAGCTTCTTCTTTCCTTCATAGTTTTAAGAAAAGAGATAAAAAAAAATATATATTTTTTAATGTACATTTTTAGTTGTGATCCAGTTGCTCCTGTCGTTTGACCGTGTGTGTTTTGTGTGTGAGCAGAACTGAACAGCGTGGAGCTGCAGGGCTGCAGCAGCGACAACAGTCTGAACAGTAATGCCAGTCTGCCCAGTGTCCAGTACCACCAGCGCCACACGGAGCGCAGGGTGGCCAGCTGGGCCGCCTGCTTCGAGTGGCTGCTGCAGGACCCCGTGGGAGTTCGCTACTTCTCGGTACCAACCAACCGCTCCCTGTAGCTGTTCAGCAAATCTTAATAGAAGATGGGCTTTAATTAATTAGTTATTTGTAATGTTTTACATTTGTAAACATAAGGACCTGATACAAAAGTATTTTACACCAGTGACCAATCAGGACCGTTTTAAACGTTTGTTTTTTGTACCAAGAAATCAGTAAAGGATCACTAAAATGTTATCGTGTATGTAAAACTGTATCATGTATGTCACTACCGTCATAATTCATGTCTATGTTACTACCTGTGCAGTAACCTGTCACAGCTTGTGTAGATTATATCATGTGCATTTAAGCTAATACTGTACCTGTGAGGTACTTGTACATACTAATTCACCCTACTTACACCGTTATATTCTACCATGTTGTTTACTATATATATATATATTTAGACCTTGTAAATATTATAATTACTTTTTCACATTTTGGTACTTTCTTTTGCACCCTTATTGCATGCTTCAGTGTTTCTTGTTTGTTTTTTAGCGGGTCGAAATGGTTCTTCTCATCCTTGTTGACCTTGTGTTGACCTTCATATGACAAATAAACAACATAAACGTTCGATCACAGCAACTAAAAACACATTTGATCAGCCGACGTGGTCGAACCTTGTGGTGGCTCACGTTAGGTTAACCAGTTGTTACATTAACTATTAGTTTTATTCTGTTTCCACATTTAAATAACATTTATAACAAGTTAACAGTACTCATGGCAAACTGTAAAATAAAAATAGCTCAAATGATCCAGTTTAAAAATATATTTTTCTTTTTTTCTTTTGGCTGCTCCTTCGTCAGGAGTCACCGCAATGAGCGAACTCGCTTGACTTGGCAATAGTTTGTGCTTTATTTTTTTTAGGATGTACCGTATTTATTACAATTATTTGTTTGCTCAACTTTAAAGTAAAGGTGTGTCTCAGTCTAACTTTTATTTAATAAAAGAACTAACGGTCAAATCAGCTTCATTTCGCCACTTCTGCGCAGCGAAATGAAGCTGATTTGATGGTTACAGCGAGCGGAACGAAGGTGACACTATGGCAAGCCGATTGTGTCATTAATAGCCACTTTTACCTATTACATGATACAACGACATGCCGTACTGCTCGAGCGCCATCTAGCGGCTGAAAATGGTAGTGTTCAATATTTTAAGTCAGAATGAATGAAAACGGTCGTATCTCAGTAAAAAACAGGTTTATAAATATGAGAAAAAACATAAATACGTCGCTTCGGTGTACAAGTCGCAGGGCATGTAAATGATGCAAAAAACTGTGACTTATAGGATGAAAAATACGGTAACTGTCGAGCTACTGCACCCCCCCGTGTTGAGCAGAGGGCTTCCATCTAGAGCAGGTTATTCATCTAAACTGCTCCGGGGGGCCACAGGTTCTGAGAACCAGCAGCTCAGGGGCCGGACATCCAGCAATTTAAGTGGTTATGTAAATAAACCAAGTATTACAACGACCTTTTACTTTTTAAATCTGTTTATTTTGTTGCATCGAACCATAAATTCAATAAACAGAACCTAAACCAAACTCGGACCCCTCCACAAAAATGTTTACAGTTTTAATTTAGGGACACGTGAATTAAGATGAGAACGTCTTCCTGACACCACAAACACTTCCTGTTTTATTGTAACCACGACGTGTTTCTTTGACGTTCTTCACTTTTACTATAAATTGTTTTTGCTGCAGGAATTCCTCAAAAAAGAGTTCAGTGAGGAGAATATTCTTTTCTGGCAGGCTTGTGAATTCTTCAGCCATGTTCCCGAGAACGACAACAAGCAGGTGACGTCTCGTTTTGCTCGTGCTCGTTTACCCCCCCGCAGGGAGAATAAGGCAACTGTTGCTCTTCTGCATTTATCAGCTTTCACAGCGCGCCAGAGAGATCTACAACAGCTTCCTGTCCAGTAAAGCCACCACGCCGGTCAACATCGACAGCCAAGCTCAGCTGGCCGACGACATCCTGAACGCACCCAAACCCGACATGTTCAAGGAGCAGCAGCTGCAGGTGACAAACAACACGAGCTCATTCATTTGGAGAGACGAATAAAAACAGGCTTTCTGTGAAAACCAGATTCATCTCATCCAACCGAACGTGAAATGAAGCTGAGCTCAGATTCAGTCTGTGCTCGTCCGACGACACGGCTCTGACGCGCAGCTCGAGGAGCTGCAGAGCTCGATGGATTTCAGCTGCAGAGCTCGATGGATTTCAGCTGCAGAGCTCGATGGATTTCGGCTGCAGAGCTCGATGGATTTCAGCTGCAGAGCTCAGATGGATTTCGGCTGCAGAGCTCAGATGTTCACTCTGATAAGAGTCACAAGGCTGCAAGGATGTCCTCACTGTCACTCCTTTTTATTTCTGCACATTAAACTTTCACACGTTTCTGTTCAAGCTTAACACGCACATTAAAAATTCACAGTTTAAACTTTTGTTTTTCCTCTTTCAGTGGGTTTGTTGTTCTTTAAGCCTCGACTTCATCTTTCTTCTGTGTACATCTGTAAACATCTGGTTGTCATTCGTGTTTCTTTTATTTTTGGTACTTTCTAATTAACCTAAGATTTATGTATTTGATCCTTAGTTCTTTATTTTCCCCTCTTTGTTCATTTTAATTGCGTTCTTCTGTTTTGTGGCATTTCTTATTTACCCAAAGAATATTTCTGTTTTTCTTCTTGTATTTTTTCTTTCACGTTTTCCTCGTGACATTTTTTCTCTTACCCACCGATTGAATGTCCTCCTTTAGATCTTTAACCTGATGAAGTTCGACAGCTACACACGGTTCCTCAAGTCTCGTCTGTATCAGGCGTGCATGCTGGCAGAGGTGGAGGGCCGGCCGCTACCGGACCCGTACCACATCCCCAGCAGCCCCACCTCCAAACACAGCACCACCGGTTCTGACCGCTCCAACCTCTCCACGCCCAAGAAGGTAACGGCAGCAACAAACTTTTGCCACAAGTGCAACAAAAAGGAACAAAAAAATAAAATGAATGAGCCTTGCTGTCAAAAACACCAGCTTTTCAGGAGGGTGTGGTTCAGACGGTTCCTAAGGGCGGGATCTTTAGGAACCCCATGCATCAATTGGATGAAGATGCATATTTATGATTTAATAGTTCCTCTACGCTGTAGTTTAAAACAGTTTCTATTAAACAAGATTTTGGGACCTAAATGATAAAAACAGAAGTCAAAATGCAGAAAACAGATGTAAAACTCCGTCACATGTTGGCGGTGTCCCACCGGCCCCCTCCAGTTTCACCACTTTGCTTTTGGTCTTGTTTTAAAGACGTGTCTTTGACGTGGACCGATCGTCTTCTGTCTTGACTCCAAAAGGTGAAACTTGAGTTTGGGCTGGGACCGACGGTGGCGACTGAAATCAGTAACATATTCCAGGGAAAACTGGAGAATTGTCAGCTGCGTTGTGAGAACGTGACGTTCTTAACATTAAATATAATCGATATGTTTTAATCGCTTCAGAATCGTTGATGTCTGTGTTTCTGTCCGCATCTCTTCCGTTTGGTTCTGGGTCTTACAGGAGGACAAGAAGAATAAATCCGGTCGGTCTTTAAATGAGGACGTTCGAGATGATTCAGGCGACAGGAAGAAAGGCACGTTTTTCTCGTGGTCTCGCAACAGGAGCTTCGGCAAAGGACCGAAGAAACGAGAGCTGGCTGATTTCAACTACAGTCAGTATTTCTTTATTCACACGTTTCACACTGTTCGGTTCTAGAGTTGCTCCGCTCAGCGTGTCTGCGTGTCCGAGTAGCTGTCGCGTTCATTCTGGGATGGTGCTTTTGAAAACTTTGTTTCCCCTTTTTCTGGATGTAAATAGCTTTTTACAGATGTTTACTTCCTCTGGTATCGGATGCTGTGCAGCTGGAAGGATTTTTACTGAAACCTTTTTGCTTTTGGACATTTGTTATGAAGCGTAACCATGGCAACAAGGTGGTTTTTACAACCGGGAGCCGCTGATTAACATCTCAAAGCTCAAATATTACCTCAAATACAGCCCCAAATCCCAAATGAGTTGTAAAGGAGGTGCCATGGATGCATCTCCGTCTACCTGGCGCAGGTGCTTGAGTGACTGACTGCTGAGGTCCTGGAGCTGGCAGGAAACATGGCTCATGACCAGAAGACCAGGATCATCCCCTGACACCTGCAGCTGGCTGTCTGGAGTGACCATCGCTCAGGGAGGAGTTCTGCTCAACATTCAGGTGGTCCTGCTGCCCAGGAGGACCAAGAGGCCCGCTGGGTCCAGGTGGATGGATCGGCATCTGTTGCCAGATTCTTCAGATCCGCTGTGGGAGCTCCTTCCTGCCATCAGCATATATAACAAGTCTTAATGAAACAGGATGATGAGCTACAACATTTTAGTAGCATTTAGTTTAAAATTAAAAACATGCCTGATGATACTGTAACAATCTCTGCGCTAATACTGAGTCCTACACACACACTCGGTGTATAAAGTGGAAATAATCTAATTATAATCTAATTTAATTTTCATCCATTCAGCATTTTTAACCATTAAATGACTAATGCAATGTTTCCTGTTGTGGTGGATTCTGTGGATTTTTGTCATTATTTTGTTCCTGTTTTAGATTTTACTGGGACTAATGGCCGCCGCGAGTCCCAAGGTTCCCTGTCTTCAGGAGCCAGTCTGGAGCTGGGGACCTCAGGGAGGAACGAGGTCAGTCTGAAAGGGAAGAAGCAGCTTTGCGAGATAGAAATGAAAAATAAAGTTTACAATGGTTATGTTTTATGAACACTGCAGAATTTTTGGGGTGAATTTTAATATATTTTTTAGGTTTTTAAAGTTTTTCCCTCTAGGCGTTAATAAAATAAACGGCGCGAGATGTTTTTCTTTTAGGGAGATGTTTCTCGTACGGCAGCAGATCGTGGAGGAAGCGGCGCCCCCTTGAGGCAGTGCAGCATAAACCTTCCAGACGGCTCGTGCTGCTCGGTTCCTCTGAAGGCCGGGCTGTCCATCAGAGAGCTGCTGCAGGGTCTTTGTGAGAAGCTCTGCATCAACCTGGCAGCTGTAGACCTGTTCCTAGTTGGAGGCGAGAAGGTGCAGCTCCGTCCGTGTCCCATCCGTTTGTTTTTGTACATACATCGAGAACAAATTAAAATATTCACAGCAAATCTCATGTACTAACCAACTATGGTCTGTTTTAGTGTTATTGCTTTAGAGATCATCTTTATTAACTGTATTAATCTATAGTTTAAATAAATCTGCATTATTAGCCCTCGACTTTGCTTTTAGGAGCCTTACGGTGATTTTCCGGACAGTTAATCTTAGAATGGGTTAGGGTTAGGCTTTTTATATTTCAGCTTCATGTGAGTTTATGTGGCAAAAAACCGTTAAAGTACCGTATCAACATTTGTACTTTAGGATCCACCTGGAACTGTTTTAAGACTCTTTTCTTTCTCAGCCTCTTGTTTTAGACCAAGACTGTTTGACCCTGAGCTCTCGAGACCTCAGGCTCGAAAAACGAACCCTCTTCAGGTATAAAATGTAGTCGTATGATTTAATTTACTTCTGCTGTTGTGAAATATGAAAAAACAACTTTTGAACTTGTGAATAAATACCATGAACAGACCTGAGAGGTAATGCTGACCCTGTTCTCCTCTCCAGACTCGACTTGGTTCCCATCAACCGTTCGGTGGGTTTAAAAGCTAAGCCCACTAAGCCGGTGACGGAGGTCCTGAGGCCCGTTGTGGCAAAATACGGCCTGCACCTTTCTGACTTGGTGGCACGTATAGTAAGTCTGTCCTCGGGCAGAAGACGTGCAGCGTAAACGATGACATCAAACTCATCACGCTGTGTTTGTGTCTCTGGTGCAGAGCGGAGAGTCGGAGCCGTTAGATTTAGGTCTTCCTATTTCCAACCTGGACGGTCTGCGGGTGGTTTTAGATGTAGAAGGAAACCTTCCTGGAAAAGGTAAAGTGCATGAAAACACACAATAAAGAACTTCAGTACGGAAAAAGCTGGGATGCTGTACAACGTTTGAAAAAACAACTGAATGCAGCATTTTGCAAAACTCATATTTAATTTACAGAGAAACAGAATCAAATGTTAAAACAATGATACAATTACTTTGAAAAAACAAAAGGTCATTTGAATTTTATAGCATCAAAAAGTTGGTTCAGGAGCAACTAAAGTTTGTAGAAGAAACAGCTGGAGAAACATTTAGCAACAAATTAGGTTCATTCAGTCACAGATCAGTAAAAAGACTGAGCGTAAAAAGAGCGATTTAGAGAGGCGGAGTCTCTTAGAAGTAAAGATGGGCAGCGGTTCACCAGTCTGAAAATAATTCATCTGCAACAGTTTCAGAATATTGTTCCTCGGGAAGACTTTGAATATTTGATCATCTAAACGTCATTTTAACATCCAAAGATTTAGCTGCTGCCTCTCAACGAGAACGCTACGAGATCTGACCTCAGGTCTTTCTCTGTAGAACATGCATGTTCTCCCCGTGCACGTGTGGGTTTTGTCCTGAGTACTCTGGTTGCCTGAAAAACATGCATGTTAGGCTGATTGGTAACTCTAAATTGTTCCTAGGTGTGAAAGAGTGAATGGTTGTTTGTCTCGTTTGTCTCTATGTGTCTCTGTGATGGACTGGAGACCTGCCCAGGGTGTCCCACCCTCTCACACAGTGATTGCTGGACATGAGCACCAGTGACCCAGAAAGGAAGAAGAGGGTGAAGATGGATGGATGGATGGATGGATGGTTGGACAGATGTATGGATGGATGATGGATGATTGGACGGATGGATGGATGGATGCACAGATGGTTGGACAGATGAATAGATGGATGGATGGATGGATGGATGGATGGACAGATGGTTGGATGGATGGATGGATGGATGGATGGACAAATGGTTGGATGGATGGATGGATGATGGACAGATGGATGATGGACGGATAGATGGATGGACGGACGGACAGATGAATGGATGGATGGATGACAGATGGTTGGACAGATGGATGATGGATGGATGGACGGACAGATGGATGG